AAGCATTGCTACTGTCACTGTACCATTCAAAGCTACAGTGGTCAGGAACCCAGCTCACAGCCTCATCTTCTCTGACGGTTTAACCTGTCAACCATTCATTCCTCTCCTCTCTACGGTGGCTGAACAATATAAGTGGCATCTAAGCTTTAGAGCAGCGGTTCTCAACCTGCGGCTTGTGACCCCTTTGGGGTTGCATATCTGATATCCTGCATGTCAGATATTTACATTGTGATTCGTAACAGTAGCAAAATTACAGTTAAGAAGCAGCAACAAAATAATTTTATGGTTGGCGGCCACCACAACATGAGGAACTGTATTGAAGGGTTGCAGCATTAGGAAGGTTGGGAACCGGTGGCCTCAAGGATGCGCAGGGCCTTTCTAGAAAGTTCTCACTGGTCCACTGGAAAGGATGACCATCACACATGTTCTGAGGGCATTCACGTGCGCCAAACCTCTGCACAGGAACAGATTGAGTGTGTGTGCTCACTCATCCTCGCCCCTCCCCCGCCCCAGCTCTTCCCCTGCATCACAAAGGCAAGTCTGTTCAGATCACTCTGTCCTTGACTGTGACCTTGGAATATATAAGGGCTGTTGCATTCAAGAGGAGTTAATGAAGATTGACGTATCCTCGGGGAGGAGAGGCACTTAAAGGAATTAACAACTCTTTGTTCTATGTGCTAAGAGGCTGGTGTTGTTTTGGGGCACAGCTTTGTCCTGGCATGGATTTAACATGTGGTCATTTGATTCCAACAACATGATTTTGCTGCCCTATGCGCTCACGAAATGCTAGGGTAATAGTCTTCAGAGAAAGTAACGTCTCAAATGTATTTTTACCCATACAGCAGAACCTTTACATGACCATGGAAAGACTCTCAAAATTCTATTCCCATGACCCAGGAAAAAGCTGGCAATACCAACTGAGAATCTGGAAAAAAAAAATCTTAAATGATCTCTGATAAAAGCAGGTGACAAAACTTGGTGTGCTGTTTTTTTATGCAGTTGAATACAGGGAGCTCAGACCCCGTTCCCAGTGGTTTGGGAAGAAGGTGAAGTGGTTTTCCAGTCAAGGTACGGCCAGAAGCGGGCCAGACAGTTCAGGCACCTGAACAATGAAAGGCCAGTGTTCTCTAGATGGAGTTCAGGGTAACAGAGTTCAGGGCCATGCAGCTAAGTCCTGAGCTAGTGAGGCAGAGGCCTCGGAAGCGGCTAAGCACCAGCTGCCTGAGAGAGACCTGTGGATTCCCACAGGAGACTATCTCCTTCCACAGCAACGAAAGGAACAGCTGCGATGAGATTTCAAAACCAGGAAGGTGTGAAAAAATTTTTTGTCAGGAAACAAGCAGATATTGTCTCCATAAAAATGCCAGAAGTTTAAATGCACACTTTAAGTTACTTAAAAAATATTTTAAGTTTCTACTGTGTCCGTGTATCATCGTCAGAAAACTGTGTCTAATGACATTGTTATTTCCTAATGGTCAGATTACATTAACACTGTTCTGAGAGCTATTTAATTTGGATCTTTTGTACTTGGACATAGGATGCAGTTTTGGGGGACTATTTTTTACTGACAGGTTGTGAAGGGGTGGTTCATTAAGTAGATTAAGAACTCCTTTAGAACATGAGCAAGCTAACAATTCAGTAGGAGCAGCTGTCTGTGTGTTCAGACACCCCAAAGGCCAATGGTGTCTTCAGCAGCAGCCTGTCAGCTGATAGTGTGTCACAACCTTGGGCTTTTTCTGTTTGTCTCAAGTATCTGACAGGTAGAAATTATTCAGATGAAACAGGACCAGGCTATCACTGAATTGATTAAGCTTAATGAGCACAAAGCAAGACACACAAATTAACAAGGCAGAGAGAAAATAATCAAAATTGAATTCAATTAAGGGAAAGTGTTAAACAGAAAATTTACTCTCACACCAAATGTTCTTTTCTATTAATGTCATAAAGAATTGTTCTGGATGTTCTGTGTACCAGGTCAGTTGCTGCACTTAGGGTGTTTTGCTTTTTAGCCTGAGGTGCAGTTGGCATTCCCTGCTGTGCAGACAGACTTGAGTAGTCTACACACAGCTTCTCCCACCTTACCTCTGTGTGCACTACTAGGTCAACACGTGACTGTTCTTAGAAATGTGGTCTGTGATACCCAGCACACGGACCTCAGTTTTTTCATACCAGCTGTAGGAACTGCTCACTCCAGATTCATTTTGCCACCTAGCTTGGACTCCACAGGGGTCAGATGGATGGACCAGACTCAGAAGGGCAGCCTGTTCTGCCAGCCAACCAAAGCATCTCAAAGTCATGAGGCTTCTACCTTCTAACTTCCTCCCGCCCTGTCAGCAAGGAGAACTGGGTTTTCTCCTCTTCCACCAAAAGCCTTTCCACTGCTCTTTTATGGTGTTACTTGAGACATCCCTTCCTAATGGTTTCACTATGTTGAAAAAGGATTGGAGATAGACAGAGGCTGGATAGGGGTAATTAACCCGGGGCTCTATATTCTGCAAGAGATGGATTAATGGCTCTACCATGTAGGTGTCTGAGGAAGCTTTTTAACAGCCATAAAAGACTGTTGCGATAAACACACACACACACACACACACACACACACACACACCACAAAATGTATAAAAGGAAATTGTCTACTATTTAAAGAAACTACACTGGAAGGCACTAGTTTTGTAGAAAAAAATTGCAAACAACACTAGTGCGTTGCTCTGAGGTTACTCCCTGGGGCATCCTGGCCCCACTACTTGCTGTGACATAGGCCTCCTGCGCCCCAGTTTCCTCAGCAATCGACTATACAGAGGTGAGAACAGAGGTGAAAAAAGTCACTGGCACTTGGAATAATGTCTGAGTTGATTAACTTTCCCTAAGTGCCCGTAGGTTTTGTTGCTACAACAAAACATTTAAACTTACAACTTATGTATGAGATAGGCATTATCTCAAAGCAACGCCTATCAATTAAAAAAATGAGGAAACTGAGAAACCAAGAGCAAAGGGTCATGAAAAGAAAAACGTATGAGCGCCAAATACATGTATGAGTTCACCCACAATGGCAGTCCTAATGGTATTAAAACTTCTCTGGTTGTAGGACTCTCCTAGTGATACGTAGAAATAGGTAAGATGTTCTTTCTAACATACACAGTTTGTAAAGCATCTACTTTTAGGATTAATATTATGTGGACGCTTAAGCTGAGAGGTGAAGGGTGAAAATAAATTTCTCCAGTTTGAAAAAAAAAACAACTTTACTTTTATTTTTACCTATGTGTGTGCGTTTGGGTTTGTGATGTTTCTTCTGGCTTGCAGAGGCCAGAAGAAGATGTCAGATTCTCTGGAGCTGGAGTTTCTGACAGCGGTGTTCTGCCTGACTGGGTCCTGGGAACCAAACTCTGGCCCTCTGCGAGAGCAGCACAGCCCTTAATTGCAGTCTCCTCTGTGGCCCCGAAGAATATTGTTTTCATTTTTGAATTGTTGGAAAGGTTTATATCTACTTTGAGACCAAGCTGGCCCGGAACTCTTCTGCCTCTTGAGTGCCAAGATAGGGAATGTACCACCATGCCTGGCCCAATTTCTTCAGTTTTTCAATAAAGGAGAGAGTGTTGAAACAGTTAATGGTAGGGTTTTAGGGCAGAGCCACAGTGGCCAGGGGTTTGAGTGGGGGTGGGGGTGGGCTGAGTTGTGATGAAGGATTTCCTTTCTGTTTTGTTCTTGAGATGGAATCTCAGTTTGCGCTGGTCTGAAATCTCGAGGGCCCTGCCTCTGCCCCCTTACAGCGGGGGCTACAAGCCTTTGTCTTTTCACCTGGCTTTGGAATAGATCTTTCCCTTGATTGCAGTGGTAGCTGTATGAGTCTGCATGTATCATAAGATGTCACAGAATTATGCATACACTCCCTCACTGTCAACTTTAACTGTTTTGTTACCGTGTTGTAGTTATGCAAGATGTAACCACTGGGGGGTGGGGGGGGAGATAAATGGTACAGAGACCCTCTTACTATTTTTGCAGCTTTCTATGAATGTGTTTTGAAACATGAAAGTACAAAAAAAAAAAAAAAAAAAAAAACATCAGAAATGGTTTTCATAATGGTTGCCATAAATAACACCATTGCTTAGCTGGCTTGAATTTCTAACGGAAGTACTTACACTTCCTTTTGGTGTCCAACGTTAAAAACAACAACAACACAAGAACAAAAACTTTAAGCAGATCTTGCCATAGTGTTTAGTTCCATAAGCTAAACCTTTAAGTTTACCTCAGGTCTTTATTCTCTCCCAGGCTCACAGTCATCCTCTTACCTCCTCAGCACCTGGCTTACTCTCTCCATCCAAGAGGAAACTTCCATTTCAACGCCAGATTTCCTTGATATTTGACACAATTTTGGGGTCACTTCTTGTGGGAAGGTCCTAGCTATACACTGTGACATCCCTCCTCACAATCTCTGTGTCAACTCTTCAGAGTTGATTGTCAGTGAGTCTAGAGTTGAGTATATTTGAGTTTATCTGACTTGCTCAGCTTACAAGCTAGAATGGAGGTGTTTTCATTACCTGGTAGAGGTAATTGTCACTCTAGATTTTAAAAAGATTTTATCCAAGGGGAAAAAAAAAGATTTTATCCGAGTGTGTGTGTGTGTGTGTGTGTGTGTGTGTGTGTGTGTGTGTGTAAGTGCCCTCAGATGCCTGAAGGAGGCATTACAGGTAAGCTGCCCGAAGTGGGTTTTGGGAACTGAACATGAGTCCTCTGCAAGAGCAGCAAGCTCTCCTTTTCTTTTCTTTCTCTTCTTCTTCCCCTTCTGATTCTTATTCCTCTTTTTTAGGCAAAGTCTTACTATGTAGTCTTGTCTGATCTGGAACTCTCTGTGTACAGCAGGATGGCCTTAAACTCATGGAAACCTGCCTGCCTGTACCTCCTAAGTACTGGGATTACAGGAGTGCACCACCACACTTGGCAGCAAGTGCTCTTAATGGCTAACTCCATTTCTCCAGGCTCACTCTGGATGTTAAAAATCTTTGTCACAGGGTCACCCACAGTGCTTCAAGCAGCAGCACCCGCTCAGGACACAAGGACACACCTTTCACTTGCACAAAGTCCAGCTGGTGAATGGACTGGAGCAGAGGGCTGTTGTCCAGGCTCAGGTCAAAGTCCGTGGTCATTCTGGGAGTGAGTGTGCCTTTGCCCCACTGGTCCTCAGTTAAGTGAACCCGCCTTATGAGGGCATCTGAAATCTAATCACAAAGACCACATCCTAAGAAACACAGAGTCATCTTTAAACCACAACACTGCTGCCGGACTCTTTGTGAGTGTTAACACCAAGCCACGAGGAGGAACCTCAAGCTCTTGCCATCTCAGTGTGCTTGGTGAGAAAGGCTGTATCATGACTGGGGTAGCCCACAGTTTCTGAACCAAAGCTGAACATTTTTTTTCTTGAGTCACAAGGAGGGCACTAGAAATAATTAGCAGCTGTTAAATGACTCATGCTCATACATTTATTACTAAGATTCCAAATGCTGTCAACTCTGGAAAATATGATACACAATGGAAACCCATTCATCCTATAGAATCAACAGCTCTACTCTTCTGTTTCAAGGTGTGGGCAGCCAGACAAAATCCAGGAATGAGGTTCACAAGCCAGAAAGGCTGCTCCGTGTCCTCTTACATCTTCGTGTGACTATCCCTTGATTCTTGGGAAAAGACCTCTTTCATTTCTCACACTCAGCCCCATCTGTCTCTCTCAGCTGGTTGCAGAATGCACTGGAAAAAAAAAATCTACACGTCCAAAAAAAAAAAAAAAAAAAGCTCCCTGTCATTGGTATCAAAAATGTAAATAACCCCCAGGCTTACACCACAGCACTTCAAAACTGACAATGAAAAACAAACAAGCCAAAACCAAAACAACCTCTCTAGTACCACTGAAAAAAAGAAACTAATTTGCTGAACAGAAGCAGTGGCAGCAAAGTAGGAAGGAACCCTGAACATAAAGACTTCAGCTGACAAAACTGCTCAAGATGGTTAGGGTGAAGGCCCAGTTCTCGGGCGAGACAATACTTTCTTCTTTGGAGGAAATCACAGAGAATTATGTTTTCATGATTAAGCCTAAGAACAGAACCTTCCCATGCGCCCCTTCTGCTCATGCGCTTCCTAGTCTTGTAGCGCAGGATGCCAGAGACTTCCCGGAAGTCGGTGGAGCTCTGCAACGGGTTCCCCGACACTCACTGCGCATGCGGGTAGGTTCTGCTATTGAGGGACTCGTGGTAAGCCAGGCAGCTGGGTGCCCCATCTTTGTGTCCTCCACTCAGTGCTATGGGATATCTGAAATGGGAGGCAGAAACTAGTAAATACCGACCTGCAGAAAGCCGCTGGGGTCGTTCTCCTTAATCACTTCCAAGCAGTACTCCATGAGGCCCGTGGTCTGGCGCAGTTTCACTGTGCAGTGAGAGATCTGGTCCCGAACCACCTGAGGTTGTTGAGACAACAGAAAGGTGGGTGCGACACAGCAGAGGGTAGAACAACGGGGCTTTGGAGAGCTCCCTCAGAGCAGAATCCAGGGACCTCATGGGAAGGGGCCTACATGGGGGAGAATGCTTTGTGTCGCTCTCTGCGAGGACACAGGCCCCGGAGGACGGGTGGGTGAGGTCCTCACAGGAAGTTGCTAACAACAGGACCCTTCATAAGAGAGTGACAATATTGAACCTGTGGATCTGGTGACCTTGGTGCACAGGACCTTGCGGACGTTCTTCTCTGAAGTCGACACCGTCGTGAGCTGCTCTTGGGGTGAAGGCCTGAGCTGGCTGTCAGGGGGCTGCAGCTTCCCCGCAGGCAGAGGCCCGGCCACTGGCAGCTCTCACCGTCTTTGTTGGCCCGTTATCTCATCTAAAGGGTTTCCCCACCTGAGCCCCAGGTCATCTGAGTCTTTCCTGAGTGGATGGGAGGGCACTGGACGGCTGGGCGGGGCCTGTACAGCACGGAGATGATGGCAGCAAGTGACAGGGACAGAGGGACCTAGGTAAGAGTCACGGTGTCATTCGGGGAGCGCCTCTCCTGTTTGCAGACCTGGGGGTCTGTTACAGCCCGCGTGGACTTTCCTTCGGCACGCATTCTGCCTCCAGGAAGCAGTTTTTGCCCAGGGACGGAAGCACGGCGCTTCCTCCATTAGAGGAACTTGGACGTGCGCCACCTCCGCCCAGCCAGAGGCGTTCATCTTTGTGACCTCTGCCAGTGAGCTGAGACCTGAGGGGCACTTGAAAAAAATGGAATGAAACCGCAAGTTTCCCAGAAACTGCAGACACTTGCTTCCTTGATATTAATACAGCTTTGTCGAAGCCCCAGAGTTTCAGCGTTTTAAATTTTACGTATACTATGGAAAGGGTTAACAAGTGTTAAAAGCTTTTCCTTGCTCCTTTTAATTTCCGGTTTTCAGTTCACCTTCCGCTAAGGATTATTACACCTGTTTCCCAGAAGAGCCAAAAATAGATGGAGAGCATCTCAAACCACCTCAGCAACCTGATGGAAAAAAAACCTGCAGCACTTCGATACTTCCTGTTAGTTTTTCCCTGGAACCAGACTCACTTATATTTACAGACTCAGCGTTTGACATTTTACCTCCCCACACTCAATACTGTACATCATAGGCATTTCGGTGAATGCTGCTGGCTGTGTAAATATCCCAGTGAGTGGGTAATAATGATTAATTCCTATTCCTCTGTTATAGGGCATTTAGTGTCTTCATCATTTTCTACCCACCCGTTCACTCGCTTCTGGCTTTTATTCTTGTATTGTGACAATTTATGGCATGCGTGTACTGAAATAAGGATGCCATTCAACACCCTAAAGTTCTGTGTCTGCTTTTAATTTTTCCTTAAGGTGGTACAGACAATGGTGGTACATGCCTTTAATCCCAGGACTCAGGAGCCAGAGGCAGGCAGGCCTCTGGGTTCGAGGCCAACTCGCTTTTAAATTATCCTTCGTAAGGAAGGTTGATTTGGGTTTGTTTTTTGTTGTTTAACAAGTGTGCAGCTCTTTGCCAACTCCCCCAAAGCTCGTAGCTCTGCCCTAGAACTGGTGACTCTTCAGCGTGCAGAATAGGAACGGGCTCCCCAGCTGCCTCTCCCAAGGACTGATTTTGTTCTTCTTGCTACATTTTCATCAGCCGTCCAGAAGAGCGATGAAAAATCACTGCTAAAAATGAAGTCAAGCAGGGTTCTCAGGACAGTGGTTTGGGGGTATTCTGAAATTGACTTTCTGAACTGAGATTTCCTACCTTGTGGAGATCAGCCAAATAGTTAGATATTTAAGGAGTATAATCACTTTGTAAAATCTAAAAAAAAAAATCTTATTTAATTTTTAATTGAAAAATTTTCAGCCAGGCAATGGTGATGCATGCCTTTAATCCCAGCACTCAGGAGGCAGAGGCAGTTTGGTCTCTTGAGTTCAAGACCAGCCTGGTCTACAGAGAGAGAGAGTTCCAGGACAGCCAGAGCTACACACAGAAATGGGTCTTGAAAAACTGACCAGTCAGCCAACCAGCCAACCAACCAACCCCCTCCCAAAACGAAACAAAAAACCCCAACTGCATGTATGTGCATGAGGTGTGTACATGTGTGCATACATTTATCTATGTACATGTGCCTATGAAAGCCAGAGGCTGACGTCAGATGGCTTGAACCCAGAGATCACCAAGTCAGGTAGTCTTGCTAGGTAGTCAGGTAGGCAGGCTTGCTAGCTTACTCCAGGAAATCCCACTGTCTGCCTCCCAAGCTAACATTAGAAGCCAGCCAACACACCCACCCAGCATTTTATGTGGGTGCTGAGGAGCTAAACTCTGCTCTCCACACTTGCACATCAAAGTCCCTGGTGCATTAAGCTGTCTCCCCAGCCCTAGGGATGAGGCTGTATTTTACCCTGTGGTCAAGACTTTTCTCAGCTCTTTTACCTCTTAGCTTTCTGGTCAGGCTGTTCTTTCCACTCTTTATTGTCCTGTATTTTTGCTCATGGTTTTGTTGAAGTCCCTTCTTAGGAAGCAAGACTGTCTCCCCCTCTGCCCCTGTTTGAGTTACACATTTTTTGGACTTTGATGTTGGTGCCCCAGAGAACCATTTGGCACTGTTTGCAGCTGGCAGGAGTCAAGTCCCTTTCCTTGGGTACAGTGCAAGTCACAGGAGTGACGAAACTAGGTCCTGGGAGAACAGTCCCCCCTGTTTTCATGTGCACTGGCACCTAACCCAGTTCCCACGGGAGAGGGGGTTGGATTATACCCCATGATTCCGGGGGATCATGAGAATTTGAGAATTTGATCAGAAGAGCAGTGGTCTCTACAGACAGCAGGTATCTAGGGATCATTTTAACGGTTTTATTTTGATAGATGGCAAAAGTAACGAGGGTCACTCCTCTGGTCAGGGTGTGACACTAGCACCTGTTTGGGAAAGGACAGTCTAAGAAAGGTCTGTTGTTTCTCTGGCCTCTCGGGCTTTTTCAGTAGCGCAGAGCCACCCAGGGGACTGTATATACACACAGGCAGAACATGTTCTGACCACACCACATCCCCATCAATAACAGGCTGATGGGATTCCTGCCATCAGCTCATGTGGTACAGCCCGCATGGAGGCATGGTGTGGGGGAAGAGGATTCCACTGTGTCTGAATGTGAACAAGATAAGTCCCGACTCTTGAATTCCATCGACCTCTCCATTTTTCACATGTCTATAATTATTTCTCTTTATTTATTCTTCAGAATAATTTTAAGTCACGCTCCCTTTGTGGATGCTGGAGGGAGATCATTTAGAAGTTGTCACCCTGAGTAAATGATAATATTCTTTTTCCTATTTCACTCTTTTCAAAATGTAATCTATTATTTCTATCACAGTTTAACCCCCCCCCCCATAGCGTAGCCCTTTAGCCCTTCTTACTTTTTCTTTTCTATCTAAGCACATGAGCTTTCAAGACTCAAGCCTAAAGGATCTGCTTCCCACTGTTTTTGCTGGTTGGTGGGGAAGTTTCTGTGCAGCCAACCATGTTTTGAAGAACAATGACCAACTGAGGATGCTCTGAACGGTCTCACTAGGAGTTAGAGGTGAAGTGTCCTAGCTTGATTAACTAAACAGAATTCTCCTGTTCCCCACCCCTGGAAGTATATTATTTATCATTTTATCCTTTAAAGAATAAAATAATGTATTCCTTAAAACTTGGAGAAATTTAAATTAAAAAAGAATGCTATATATCATTACTTTCCCACAGGGTTTTGGGCAAATGTTTTTATTTTATTTATTTATTTATTTATTTATTTATTTATTTATTTATTTATTTATTTATTTATTTTTGGCCAGAGTGTGCTCCTTACTCACAGGGAGCCCTGACTGTGTGTGGTGGCATCTTGGTGATTCTTTGGGGACAGTGGGAACTCTGTGTACACAGACTTTTTCAGCTCTATTCATATATGGGAAGCAGAGGACCATAGAACTTGCCAAATGAAACTTGGCAAGTAATTCTGCATTAACGACAGGCTTGATTCAGTGATGCCTATAGTTAGGTTATTAGTGTTGAGCCTTCTCAACTTAGGGTGGGTAAAGATTTCAAGTTGTTCTAAAGACTGTACACAAGTCTTTATTCCAATGTCCAACTGATTCTCTGCATTGGTCTTATTACATTTACCATACTGGGCTGGTCCTTGGGGAATTAATCTCTTTTTCTTGCTGACACTAACTGTACCCTTAAATTTCCTTATGAGTGTGCTTATATTTCCTTTCTTTCTCCCATTCCTTAATCAAAGGGTCATCTTTCTGCTGGGAAACAATAAGAAAATAGCCTGATTCAGCAGTTTTATAAGCCAGTAGCACTTATCACTCATGATGGAAGTTTTGCTGTTTAGTGACATGGCCATATAATGGATTGTTTTCTTTCTTTCTTTCTTTCTTTCTTTCTTTCTTTCTTTCTTTCTTTCTTTCTCTCTCTCTCTCTCTTTCTTTCAGAACTATTCTAAGAAAACAGTACAGTAGGCTTGAAAAGGAACCATCCTACATATAACCATGGTGCTATATGGAGGCCCTACACCAATATGGAGTTAACCCAGCAAGCGTTATCATTACGGCTTCGCAGAGTGATTTTTCGATATCCAAATTCACCAACTGTGCAAGCACTTTGAAGATTAGACTGCCCCTCAAATAATTGTGAACAACCATGCTTATTGCTTCCAAGGCCTCTCACTGTTGGTAGGGAACAAGGAGATGTCTATCAGCTTGTACTTTTCAACCTGAACCATTCTAAAATGCTTGAGAGAGAGAACACATTTAAGATGCTTTTAGAATGAAATCAAGTTTTGAGAACATTATAGACAAAATTAATTCCCAGGGAGCACACTGAACTTTCAAAAGGAAGTAGAAATGTGTAATTTTTATAAAGTGCAAAAAGTATTGATCTCATTAATGGCAAATTTCGATGTTGTCACAGACTCCCTGTGAGGCTGTCAGGAAAGTGGGGACAGTTTGGGGCTGTGCCCAGCAGAGAAGGACCTGGGAAGGATGATGACAGAACACCCTCTGCTGATGTCACAGCACTGCACAACTGATCCACACACGAACAAGGAATCTTTCCTGGAAGGCCACAGAGACTTTTCTGTAATGCCTTTCTGTCATTCTGTCATTCACTTCAGCCTATCACAACCTGAAGCAGACACACAGCTCCGTGCACTTTTTTCAAACCACAGACAATCAGTAACTTCAATTTACATCTCAAGCAAGTCCCAAATACAGCTGCACCCGCACATCTCTCATCTAAGCCTCCCTGCTTCCCGATTTTCATAAAACATCTTAAACAGCACAACAAAACTGCCAAAATAGCTCAGAGAATAATCAGGCCACCGATTTAGTGGCCACAGGCCACTAAAAAAGAATCCCATGTGTTTGAAGGGAGTAACGGTCTGTAGTTAATTCTGCCTACGTACAGTGTGTGTGGAAAATAAGTTCTTCAGTGTGATACGTGGTATCATAAGTCCACTTACTCTCCCAGCAACAGAGGTGAAAGTTAAAACTTGTGTACTCTGCAAAGTACTCTACAGTGCTGCAGACTGAGCACAGTCTTAAGTGCTTTCCAGTGTCTGATAGTGAGGACTGTGCTAAGCACCCATATCCTTTCGAATTGTTGAATACTGTGATAAGTGCTTGACCATAGCCCACACGGTGAGAACAGTACACTCTCTGTCTCACACACAGAGAAACCACAGCTTCCCCCAAGTCAGAGAGCTAGTTAGTGCCAAAGTCGGACCTCTCACCCAGCCTGGTCTCTGTAACAGGGATTCTAGACTTTTCCCCAGCCGACTCCATCTTGTCTCACCAGAACCCTTACATCTGTTCAGGCTGGCAGTGCTCTAAGAGATGGGCATGAGAGAGCACTAACACCCATAAACACACAGTGGCTTCCCAGAATCCCACAGCTTTTGAATTGCTCGCGCGCGCGCGTGCACACACACACACACACACACACACACACACACACACCACGCATTGCCTCTTTGTCAGTGGAGAGCAGCCCCTGGAAACAGAAGAGCATGAGACTGCTGCCACACAGCCAACAAAGAAAACAGCGCTGGGGCTTGGTGGGGATGTCCTTCAATGGCCAGTCTCCCCTCACAGTCTCAGCAGCGACAAAAACAACAGGAGAGAGGACAGGCAGGACCAAAGAAGAGACCTCCTGGAGGCTGGGATCAGTAGCTATGGCAGCAGTGGCACCGGTGGCGACAGACACAATTGGCTGAAAATGACAGAGCCGAATCGTGGAGACGGAAGACAGAACAACAGCTTTGCTGCCGAAGGCAACAATAGGCCACCTGCCTCTTCCCATCATTCTCTGGAGTCGGAGGAGGGTGAAACGAGGGCATCGGTGTCCTCTGCCCAGTAGCCCTGTGGCAGCTGTGTGGCCCACAGCACAGCCCTTCTGTTGGGGGGGGTGATGAGGACAGTGGGAGGACATGGAGGCCCCGGGGTGTGGTAGATGCCATTCCTAAGCATCTCCTGCATCCGGAGCAGCTAGCTACTGCACAGGCCGTGGGTGATATTCTCAGTCCCATCCTGCAGAGATGGTACCAAGTAAGGGGCACAGGGGCCTGTCCTGCCCTCTGATGTTTGCTGACACGATGTAGATCAATGACACTTTTCCAGTCTCTGATTCCTTCTTCCATAGAGATTACGGGCCCGTGTTTCTCCCAAACAGAGCATCAATAGTCACCTCTACAGGGACTACACAGCCCCACAAAACACTCACTGTGCTCACGGCTGCAGGGCCAGTGTTGGCTATGTTTAATAAAAGGAGACTCCACTGAGGAGAAGGTGAAGTTTTTACAGCCCTGGTTCTCTGCAGGGTGACAACAGCTGTCCAGCCCGTGCCCCAGTGACAGCCACAGCTTTATTCTACACACATCAGCATGACTTGGATGGTATTTTGAAGCCAGGTCTAGTGACACAAGTTGTGAGCACCAGTAGTCTAGGGACTGAGGCAGAAGGGTCACAAGTTCAAGGCCTGCTTATGCTAGAGTGTGTACAAAGCCAGCCCGGGCAATTCAGCAAAGACCTCTGTCTCAAATTTTTAAGAGGAGGGAGTGTGGGGAGTGTAGATTGGCAGTGGAGTGCTTGCTTAGTGTGTGATGCTGTAGGTCCAATTCTCAATAACACACACACACACACACACACACACACACACGCGCGCGCGCGCGCGCGCGCAACCTCCGAAATGCACAAGATACTCTGAGGATTGCTGTAAAAGCACATTTCTGCATTTCTATAGGGAATTAAGGGAAGGGCTCCAGTAAAGGTCACTCAGTGATGTCAGAGCAGGGGATGGCAACAGAAGTCTCCATCAGTGGTGGGGACTGACGGACGGTGAAGATCACCCCCATCTTCCCGGGCAGCCTCCCTCCTACAGGCAGGAGTGCAGGGCCATTAGCACCCACCTCCCACAGATTAGGCAAGCATGACGCCAGCTCTCCCACAGGGTGTCCTGTGACCGTTACAGTTGCCTGTGTTTTTTCCTCACAGCGTCTATGGCACTGACCACTTCTCCCCCAGAAGCTTGCTGCTCACTTGTGCTGGGGCCATGGTGGGTAAAGCTCAGTGCTTCCAGAAGGTCAGGGCTCACCCTGGGTTACCACTGTATCCCCTGACTCCTCTGTACCCCTTCTCAGCACTCTAACCTTGCATTGGCTGGCTGCGGGGAAATGCCTGGTCTCTGCATGGAACTTTCATTATGAGCAGTGTGGGGCTTTTGTTCAGATTCTGGGCCCTGCAGCTCCCTGGGGCCAGTCCTTAATTCACAATGTTATCACTCCCTCCTCTCTGGAATAGGAAGAATGGTGTTTGTGACCTCATAGAGCTACCATGAAAATTATTGAGGCGATCCCTGTAACATAACTCGTATATTCTTGTTGCAAAGAACATCTCTCCAGATTTTCACTTTTGCTATTATCAAAGGCAGGGCCTGCTCATCCAGGGTGCTTTCCAGTGTTGCTGCTGGGTGACTGCAGAATCATGTACCACAGAAGGCTGAGGTTCGATTTCAGAAAAAAAAAAAAAAAAAAAAAAAAAAAAGAGTCTTTTAAAAATCACTCAGATCTAACCTGACTGTGAGAGAAAATGTTTGTCAAGTCAAGCTGTTTTTCAGACTCGGTAAACCTGTAAGATAGATACTCACAATAACACTTATCCAACAAACAGTTGGGGAGGGGCAAGTGCGGGGTGTTCGTGACTTCCCTCAGTTTCTCCTGCATTTAGGAAATTAGTATACAGTTTGCCACAAGCCCCTTTAAGAAATCCACAGGTGAGTAAGTAGATACCGGAAGAGGTGGTGACACCCAGCCAGCGGACATGGCCAGGAGAGGGCTGTGGGGACTCCATCATCCAGGACTCTGTGGGCTGCCATGCACAGGCCACAGAAGGTGCACCCCGGGGAAAGCCTGGCCTCCATTCAGCAGTGTCCCCTAAGTGACAAGCCAAATCAAAAGGCAGGGGAGAAAGGTTTTCATTCCCACTGCACTGCCGTCCTACCCTGACCTTGGTCAGGGAAGCAGCATCTTTGTAGCTCTGAATGTATCCTTGGTTCACCCACCAGGATCTGATTTGGGAAATAATATTTCTCGTGTTCTCAAGGATCAGGGGTTAGGTAACTGGTCTGCTGGGTAATATTTGTCACCGAGCCACTGACCTCCCTCAAAGTGACCCGTGCACCTCTTGACACGAACACAATGGCTTTGAAGGTGGCTGCTTCTCCCACTTTAACCCCAGCCAGTTACTGCACACCCTGCCCCTCCCCAGGCCTGAGGTTTGCTGGCCATGTGTGTGGTCCTGAGCTCACTGCCAACCACTGGACTCCCTTCTGCTCCCACTCCCCATCTTGTTGCCAGTGGGTGACAGGCAGGTTATCACAGGCTGCAAGATCCGTCCTGTCAATGGGACTTACAACACATTGGTTTTACTGTGTGGCCAACGTCTCTATTGAAAAGTTTACAGACAAATTTTATATGTTTATTTGTTTTAGAAAACATATATTCCAGTTACCTCCTCAAGAATACATTTTGCCACCCTCATCTAAGCTTTCAATCCAGTTCCTGGGATTCATAATCTCTTCTTCTTGACTTTGAAAAAAACTAGCCTACGGTATACTTTCCTTGGATGCCTTTCTTAACATTTGCCCCTCCTGGGAGAGTAGAACGAACGCAGATATATATTTTTTTATCTTGTTATTTCCATACCCACTGCGTATCCCAGCCCAGAGAAGTCACTTAGCAAATGTTGGTTAGGAAGCTGAAGGAGTAAACGGAGAATGAAGGGATGTGCCTGCTCCTGTCTGGCCAGACCATGCGGGTGAGGCATGTTACCCTCCCATGACAGCCCACCACTGCCCCGGGAGGTTGGATGGTTGCTCCCCACTGGCCCTGGGCTGCTGCTCACCTTCAGCTTGTGCTCATGCTCCTTGTTGACCCGGGCCAGCAGCTGAGCCTTCCTGCGGTTCAGGGCATCAATGAGAGCATCGCACTGGGCCACCAGGCAGGCCTCAAACTCCACACTGTTTTCCTGAACAAGAGAGCACACGTCTCAGGCACATGGACGGGGAGCTTGGGTATTCAGAGAAACCACGGCACCCTAGTCCTCCCTACTGAAGAGCCTGGAAGGAGCTCTGTCCTTAGAGTACATTGAGTGTTTCCAAACTACCAGCAAACTGTATTCTATAGTGCAGGTGTTTTGCTTTAAATTTTGATGTGAAAAGGTAGGTGTTTGTGACTTAAGTTGACTTCTATCAAAAGAAACCATCTCCACAGGTTGAATTATAATAAGTACGGTAAAGCTTTGGCTTGTACGGTGGTACGTAAGTCCTTCAGTGGGTGTTTGCACTCAGCTCTGCAGGCTGAAAAGTGGTACCTAGGAGGAAGAGGGTAGAGTCAAGGCAGGAGAGAGAAAGGATTCCTAAATGTAACAGAAGAAAAAAGAGGGGATGGGAAACAAGGATCCAGTGTTGCCGCCCAGCGACAGCAGAAGTACATGAGGTCTAAGAATAATGGGCGAAAGTAGTTATCCTTTGCATGAAGAAAGGCAACAATGGAGAAAAATTTATATTGGCAACAGCGTTTTCTCACTATAAAATCAGATAGGACATACAGCTTGCTGAGGAAAGGGGGCTACAGAGAAAAATGAAAGCAGTGTGGCCCTGTGGTATTTAAAGTAAATGCTGGCTATAGCATTTTTACTTGACTTTAACCCATATAATTCTTTTTTTTTTTTAATTTTTTTTCATATAATTCTCTTAATTAGCAATTCTGAGTTCTAGGCAATTACTAAAGGGCCTCGGATACTTAATTCAGCAACTTTCTTCAAATACAGGGTCTTTGTCTGAGACAGCATTAGGTTGAGCAACAGCTCCTATGGATGCTAATTTCGGCTCTCCTGGCAACAGTCTTTGAATTCTCAGAGAAAGTCCTTGAAGAGGACTCTCATCATTTAAGAGCCTCTTTCTGTGCCTTGTATGGGGAGGGGGGTACAGGGGTGGTGGTGGTGGTGGTGAGAAGCCTATTGTTTTCTTATGGAAAGAACACTCTGATCTGATGGAGAGGCAGGGCAGGGGCAAGCCTGGAGCTGCATAGTTTGTGCCAGCAAACGCAAAGAAAGGGCTGATTGATAAACTCTGCTGCTTTGGAAAACAGAAGGAAGTATACAAGACTGCTAGGTAATCAACAGTTTTAACACAGGCATGCATATAAAAACAGGCCAGCGGAACCAGTGTGTGAAGCTTTGAAAGGCCGGCTTACATTAAAAACCCGTTTCTGCTTTGACTCGGGTTAAACGGTCTTTCAGAAAGCCAATTTCCCGGAGGGCAGATTTCTGTGAGGCAAACCTCAAGACATGTAAGAATGGTAAACAGTGCAGAAGGGTCATTATTTTAGCGTCTCATGCGTTTTATGGTTTCTCCCTTTCGGAAATGTATGTGTTCTCAAGTGCTGGCTGGTCACTGTGTCAACATAAAGCGATCTGAAAGTAAAGTCACCAAGGGGACCGAAGCTAGAAAACAACCAGTGTTCCAGAAGAGAAGAAAGAAGCCTTAAGACGGGATGGGGAGAAGGGAGTGTGAGAGAGGGAAGAAGACCAGAGTTGATTAGTGAAATGTTACGTAAAATGGGGTTTGGAGACATCTTTGCAAACAAACAGGCCTCTGTCTAAGTGCATTGCAGTAGCTACTCGGGGGTCTCAGAGCGGATGGCCGGAAGCACCTGAGGCAGACAACACTGGCTTGTGGACCAAAAAGCCTCCTCAAGAAGGGGCACGTGTGAGGCCGGCCTCTGTGTGTGTTTGCCAGTGCAGAGAAGACGGAGCAGAAATAAAGAGGGATTTTCTCGGAACACACTGTGTCAGAGGGCCCCTCCTCTCTTTGGCGCCAGCTCCCCGCACCCTTCCCACTGCTGTACCTGGATCTGTTGCACCATGCTTCGGAGTTGCACCAGGAACTCCTTGGCTTCTTTGGCCCTGTCTGATAATCCGTTCAGTGCCTGGGAGAGCTGGCTCTGTGGAGAGAAGGAAAAAAGGTCTGAGCTGCCGTCACACAGGGCCACGTGGGGCTTACTTCAAAGCCACAGGCCCCCAAACCCAGGAGCCATTAGCTTGCCCTGAGTCCTCTTGTCTGGGATTGGGCCTTTGAGGTAACATGGGGTGGGGGTAGGGTTCTGGTAGACAGGCAAGCAGTCCTTCCCTTTTGCTCCTGAGAAATTTTTTTTTCTCTGAAGCGGTAAGTGTTCCTGGCCACGGGAGTAAAGGCCTTACTACCTAGAGAACACTCACCTCTTTAGTTAATGGATCATTTATTTGATCTGTTGTGGGTAAAAGAAAAGCTTGTGAGTCAATTGAGCTATTGACAGTCCATTGGTCTGTGGTGGGGCGGAAATAACGAAGCCGCTCAAGTGCAGGAGGAAGAAGGAAGGGTTGGGCTCTGGTGTGACGCTCTGCAGCCACAGAAAATGTTAACCATAGAGATGAAGGCCAGGAAGGTATTCCACCCTACCAAGGCCCTCTTCCTTCTCCCAAGCACACATGCTCTAGTCCGCCCCACACAGGCCTCCTCACCAAGGCCAAGGCCTGCCGGCTTCCTAACTCTTCCACCACCAAACTACCTGGCAAGGTGTGTCCAGCCAGGCAAGCACTGCTTTCCAGCCTTGGCCTCTGCTGAGGTGGCCAACACCCAAGCTGCTGATCAGCGAGACATAGGGGAAGGCCTATTAGGGGAAAGGAGGGTCTAGGAAAGCTGACGTGGGAGCAGTGTGGCCCTGTAGCGTCTCCTCTTTGGCTTCTGCGTTTGATGCAGATCAGTGTCTTCTGAAGAATAGGTCAGTGCACTAGACATGGAAGGGTAAGGACACAGGATTCTGAGTCAGTATCTGAGACCCTTCTGTACCTCAGGCAACAGCAGGCCTTCCTTATCTCTCCTCTTGAAAGTCCAAAACCCATTCTTCTCTTCAACCAGCACAGTGCCTTCCTTATCCTTTCAGTAAAAAGACAAAAGCCTCAAGATGGTATCTTTTGGTCCCGTGACTTTTTTTTCTGTTACATTTGTCTTATTAAATATGAAATGGGACACTGCCTTTTCTTTAAAATATGCAGGCCGAATGCTGGCTGGGTGGAAGCAATATAGGAGGGTAGAAAAAGCAGGATTTGAAGGGGTTAAATTCTGGCCCCACTCTTTACTAAGTGACCCTAAGTAAACCACCTCTATGTGAAATCTAGTGGGTAAAATGAGCGCTGAAGTAATACTTTGTCGTTGGGCTCTTACGAATACAGGCCTGTTCTTAAGGGAACTATTCCATTTCATAGATGCTGCCAACTACCGGCTGTTTAAGCATTTATACATAGTTTTGCCTCCTGCATAAAGTGAGAATTCTGCTTACTCTTGGATGGGATGGGCCTCACCCGATATACTGTATTTAATGGCCAGGACCCTGTAAGCGCAGGTACATACTTCATACATGTTGGGTGGCTTTAACTCATGTTTACTTTCTTCATTTCTATGCACGTAAATACCCGATGAAGAGGGATTCAAAGGACAGATTCCTCACTAAGAGCTGCTGGGAAACATCTTTGTTCACGCGTCCTTTGCTGTGTATTTCAACCCTCAGAGAGCATTGCCAGCGCAACCAAGAGAAAGAGCACAGTGAGGCTCTCTTTGCAAGGGGCCATTCATCTCTCGTACCGTGTCTTGGTAGTACCATCATGTGGGGATAAATTTCCTCTTAAGAACTTGTTTCCAGGATCTCAGGAAACAGAAGAAGAAAAAGGGGTTCTCCGTAAAAAGCATACTAATAAAATGAGAGACCGATTTTAAGGGAATGCTTGGTTTTCACTGTTTTCCTTAGAACTCCTGTTTCTTCACCTTTCCAAATGAGTGAAGGTTGGCTGGCCTACAAAGAATTTTTTTTTTCCTCTCCTTAGTAAATGCTCTTGGAGCTTTGGGAGCAGGAATCAATCTCGTCTGTCTTTATATGATAGGTATTCTTTGCTGACAAAATGAGCCAATTCAAGCCAAATTAAAGTATAAAGGCAGGTTTATTGTGGGCAGCTCTTGGGCAGATTCACAAGTCCCAGGAACAGGGTACAGAGAGAGAGAGACAGAAAAGAGAGAGAAAGTGCATGCAGAGAGAGAGAGAGAGAGAGAGAGAGAGAGAAAGAGAAGAGAACCAATACTGAAGACCTCCAAGCAGAGGAAGCCCAGCCCCTGGGCTGGAAAGTTCAGGTAGGGAGTGAGGGATGCTGGGAGAACCTTTGGTTAGATGGGCACCTATCCCAATGATACACACATTAAGCTACCTGATTTACATTCCAACTTCAAAATTTACCATATTTGCATAATATATATTATTACATTAAGCCATAAAGGTTTGTTGACTGCATACTGTTCCATATTATAGAGAAAGCTATGGCAGGGGTCTGGGCACAACTCAGTGAGCAAGGTACTACTCAACACCTACAGAAAAAGCCAGGCTTGGCGGCACATGTCTGTAATCCCCCTGCAAGGGAACCAGAGATGGGAGGACTCCTGGGGCTTTCAGGCAAGCTAGTCTAGCTGAATTGATGAGCTGGAGGTTCGATGAAAGCCCCTGCCTCAAAAATAAATAAATAAACAAACAAACAAACAAACAAATAAATAAAGACGGGAAGCGATTGAGGAAGCCGGCCAGCATCACAGCTGGCCTCTACACGTTTATGTGTGCGCACCCCAGCCAACACAAACATGTACAAATACCCTCCCCCCACGTTTTAAAAATGAGCCCCCAAATCAATTTTTCTTCAGATTCTGTCTCTTTGTGTCTGCGTCAGAGGCTGCGTGCCCTCTGCCTGGCTAACAATCATTCAGTATTTGAGAAACAGCTATGCTCTAAGACAGAGATCTATAAACCTTTCTCAAGCTTTGTCCACTTGCAGAATTTTGCAGCAGAGAATAACCCTGGGTGGCTATTTATCAGCAGAAAGTATCGTACTGTGAGGACTTATATGTGTTGTTTTCATAGGATAACTTTCTGAGCATGTTTATAAGTCAAATCTGATTAAATGTCATTATTTATTGATTTTTTTTTCTTTTGAAAACATCTGTATTCAAGCCTGTGCTGGCAAAGGTGTTCTGTATTCAGGACTGCAGAGCTGCAGACCTGTGAACTTCCTGCCAGTACACCGGAGGTGCAAATCCCAGGTGTGGGTTCTTTCTTGGCATCCTCGGCTGTGTGTAGTCCCGAGAAGAAAAAGGTGCAGTTCTATAATGCCTAAGATGAGGCTCTTGGCTATCTGGGATATTTGTTTTCTAATTTGCAATGGTTTCTGAAAGTGAAGGATAGTGTTAAAATGAGGCAGCTACCGATACCCTGATGGATTTCTGGGCTTAGGACATGCTTGGAATAACCAAGGCTTCCCTGGAGGAGGCATATTGTTTGAGCCTGAACCAAAGAAACACAACACAACAAAACAAAACCCACCCCTCCTTTCTTGCTCGCCTTTCCCTGGTCCTCTGAGATGTTTGTGTGTGAGTTCGAAATGTGTGCAGTTGTAAGATAGCCCATAGGTGGGGGGAGGCTCCTGGCTTTGGGGGAAGCTGCTGTCACAGAGGTGCTGTGGCTGGAGATACAGTAAACAAATTTTACCACGCCTATTGTGAATCTGATCCTGAGCTGTGGGTAGATCCAGGGACTGCATATCACATACACTTTTCCCAGTGTCTCAGTTACATTTCCCGTTGCTGTGATGAAAAAACAAAGAGACAAAAACCCTGCCGCCGTGACTTCTTAAAGGAGAATGCTCTTTTTGTTGTTGTTGTTGTTGTTTTTTTGGTCTTTCAGTTTGAAGGCACAGTCCATTGTGGTAGGGAGTTCAAGGCAGCTGGGCACACTGCATCATAGTAAGGATGTGGAGATCAACAAATACATCTACTCACTTTGCTTTCTCTTTAAATTAAAAAAGTATCTCTGGTTGTTGTTGTTGGTGGTGGTGGTGGTGGCGTGCACGCGTGTATGTTTGCACATTTAGGCACATGTACCACCATGGCACACATGGAGCTTGGAGAACAGCTTTGTGGAGTCCATTCTCTCCCTCTGCCTTTTTATGGGTTCTAGGGATTGAACTCAGGTTGCTGGGCTTATGGAGCAAACCCCTTTCTTTACCCATTAAGCCATCTTGCCAGCCCATTTCCCCCTCTCATACGGTCTGGGACCCAACCCAGGGAAACTGTGCAGACAGCTTTTAGGTTGTGTCTTTTGATTATGATGAACCTATCAAGGTTACCCTCTAGGCTGCTCTGCTAGATAACTGCAGGTCATGTCCAGCTCACAATCACACCCATCTTCATTGCTAACTTGATTGTGACAAAGACTGTCTTCTTGCTCAGCTTTAGCAAGGCTCCTTGGAACCTCCTTTTCTGTTAGGCCTCAGCCTTGGTTTGTAGGACTTGGGTCAACACAGTTGTCTTGTATCCATATGATGAACCCCTCCACCACCGGAAGCACTTGCTTGATAAAACCCAAGGTCACAAAATACGTTATCCAACACCTGCAGACAGATCCTCATCTATCAGTCTTTGTGGCAGGGTGGGGGCCGGGGCTGACTAACTGTCCGTGAGCAAACCTGGATGGGTTTTGTATAGATTAGCTGTCTCCTTGCTACTTTTTACAGTTTTTTTTCCTTACCTTGACTCTACTGAGCTCCTGTTCACCCCTCTCTGCTCCCAACTTCTCCCTTTAACACCATCCCTCAGTCACCTTGGTACAAATGAAAGTTGGGTTTAGTTCTTGCTGGGCTGTTTTCTCTGTTGCCCACTAAGAACCTATCGCGTCCTTAACTAGCTTCTGGCTTTGTTTCCTGTTGGCAGTTGCTAACCCTGGTGTGACCCAGGAAGATCCTGCAGTCCTTGGGTGATGAGCTTCCCCCCAGAAGGCACCTGAAGCATGTGTGAGAGGGCATCCCTACAGAGGGATGCCAGCTTCCGATCAAACCCTCATACTTTACACTTTTCTCACACATCCCACAAAGCGCA